AATGATGATTAGGTTAGAAACTGTTTTAGCATAGAAGTTAATGTCTTCATGAGAGGATTAGCTTAATTAATGATGTTTAAGTTGAATGGTTTGCTTGATCACATGATTCATTAGCTCACTAGTTTAGCACCAAAGGCACCCTAATCCACTATCATGTCTAAGACCTTTCTCATCATCATACATACATTCTCATCTCATTTAGCTTATTTACTTGCTTGTTTAAGTTGTTCATTAGCTTTAATCCTTGTTTTAAGTTCTTAGTTGTCATTAATCATCAAAACCTCACTCATTTGGCTTGAATTAAGAACTGATCTTGCATCTTAGTGTCTACACATGATGGATTGATACCCTTTGTACTGCAAAGTGACAAAAAGGATTGATAACCCTTCATTTAGAGCCTTGAAAACTCTAAGTTATCAATTGGCGCCGTTGCCAAAGTGTGATAGCATTAAGATTGTGTCATTTCTTGAGATCAAGCATTTTCTTTTATGCTTTCTAATTTCTTTCAAGTTCTGGTTGTGAGTTTCAGGTGCATGAACACCAGGTCCAGATCAAGAAGCTGTGGTCCACCTTTCCCCTTAAACGACAACATTAATCTTTTGGTACCAAGGAGGAGAAGGGATAGGCGTGGAAGACAGATTGATCAGGCAGATATGGAAGATCAAAGACAGCAGTAGTTGACATTGAGCAACAGGCTCAGGTGCAACAGGGTAATGGAGCTGGTCAAGGGTTACATCAGGGTAATGTTCATCAGGAACAGGAGCATCAACAGCAAGCTTATATCCACCAGGGACAAGCTCCAGCTCATCACCAAAGGGACCAGGCCAATGCACAGCAAAGACAACAGGCTCACCACCATCAGTCCTTCCAACACCAACAAAGGAGATATGAGCAGCCACAAGTCTATGTTGGAGAAAATGACAGGGCCAATGCTCATCAGTATGGAGCTGGAATTCAAGCACCACCTGTGCAAAAAAATAATTTTGTAGTGAAGGCATCCTTATTGAATATGGTCCAGAACTCCAAGTTCCATGGATTGGCAATGGAAGATCCTTTGGAACACTTGGATCAATTTGATAAAGTGTGTGACTTGACAAAGATAAATGGAGTATCTGAGGATAGCTTCAAGCTCAGATTATTCCCCTTCAGTCTTGGTGACAAAGCTCACCAATGGGAGAAGAACCTCCCAAGAGGATCCATTCAGACCTGGGAGCAATGCAAGCAGACATTTCTATCTAAGTTCTTCTCAACCTCCAGAACAGCTAAAATGAGAAACAAAATCTCTAGCTTCACTCAACATAGCAATGAGAGTTTTGGTGAAGCATATGAGAGATTCAGGAGCTACACAAACCAGTGCCCACACCATGGGTTTAGTGAGGCTTCACTTCTCAGCACACTTTATAGAGGGGCTCTTACCAAGATTAGGAACCAGCTGGATACTGACTCCAATGGTAAATTTATGGGTAAGGAGATTCATGCTGCTTTAGAGCTGGTTAAGAACTTAGCAATGAACAATGATACATATGGAGAAGACTTTGATAGAGCCAATAGGAGTGAGAGTTCAAGCAGGGATCAGAGGTATGAGAAGGACTTCAAAACACTTGAAAGTAAGCTAGACAACGTGTTGTTGGCCACTCAAAAGCCAATGCACTTTGTAGGAGAGTATGAGGAACCTTCTCAATGCTTTGAGAACATCAGTGAACAGGGTCTTACTCAGGAAGAGCTTAACTATATTGGGAATCAGAGGTTCCAAAGGTATCAGTATGCCAATGCCAATCAGAACCTCTCTTACAGGAATCCCAATGTAGCAAACCCACAAGACCAAGTCTACCCTACTTCTCAAGCTCCATAGAATTTTGTGCCCAAGAACAACTTTCAAGGGTCTTTTCAACCAAAGAATCAGTTTGCTCAGAATCAGGGTTTCAGTCAGCAACAGCAACCATTTCAGGGTTCTGGTTTCAGTTCACAGCAGCAGCCAAAAGCACCACCAGGGTTTGGTCCTGATGAGGCCATCGAACCATCACCAGACCCAAATATCGTTCCCGAGCTCAAAGAAGCACCAATGACCCGTTCCAAAGCAAGGAGGCTTAGAGAAGGGTTCAACTTGGCCGTGGAATCATTACTAAGTACCATGGAACTTGGAGATGCATTCAAAACCGTGACTTAAGAGCAACACTCGCGAGACAGCCCCAAAGGACCCGATTTAGACATAATGGAGGGTTTCGCGCGTTTGAGCCTCAAAGAGAACCAGCCTCAACTAGAACCAGGAAATGGAGCACGTAACACCAAGAATCTCGAAGAAACCGCATTGGACCCTCAAGATACAACCGTTTCAAGACTCGGAGCCGATAGCGAGCAAATGAGACAAGAAGAGGAACATGAAGTGGGACGCGTGAAAATACTTGAAGAACTCGCAGGATTCAACGTTAGCAGGACTCTAGAAAAAGAAAACCTTAAGACTAACGAAGAAAACCTCAAGACTAACGAGCTATTCAACGACGTAACAAGCAAGCCCACAACCGGCCGTAACCAGGTATTTTCCATTTATACGATTTGTGCAGGTAACATGGGAGTATCCTAGTGGTGTCTAGCACACTAGAGATCATCAGAGGTGCACGGAACAAGTCCAGAAAAGGTTGCACACGTTTAGTTTCTTTTCTTTTTTATTTTTAAATGAACTTTCCATTTTTGTGTCCAAATGAGACGCTTTGCCATTTTGCTTTATTTCTTTTTACAAGTCCTGTTGTTTTGAGTCCTTAGTGTCGTTTTTATTTCTTTGATTCGAACCCTAGAAGGTTCAAAGCTGACGGACTGTTTATAAAATCCCACATGCAGCTCTTGTACTTTAACGTTTTTCCCGATATCAATAAAATAACGCCGTTTTCCTCTTAGCTTGTGCTTGAGAGACTTTGTTTGTGTTCTTGCGTGTGAGATTCACCAAGAGACAAGCCGCAGTATCAGAGATCCTCCATCATCTCTGTGGTGCCTTCGATCCACTTCAAAACCCCTAACCGATCCCTCAAGAGAGAGCGTTAAAGCCAGCTTGACAGATCCCATCTCGAATCAAGTCTTGTGGAAGCAAGCCTTGTCTTACCATCCTCATCCACTGATCTACACGAGAGAGCGAAAAAGCCAGCGTGTTGATCCCACCAAGCCCTCGATTCCGCAATCATATAAGTCTCACCGGAGTCTTATATCATTTTGGTATCAGAGCCAACGGTTCCTGCCTTTGGTTTTCTATCCCTTGTACTCTTTCATTTGATTCATAAAACCGAAAACCCTAGAAAAATTTAATTGCTTTCGTATTCAATAGTCAAAAAAAAAAAAAGAGAAGAATCTGTTGCCTTGCTAGTTTTTTAAGACCGTTAATTCTTGTTCTTTGCAAACTAAAATTTGAAAACCCTATAAAAAGTTATTTAGCCTCATTTACGTATCGAGTTACATAGTCTAGCATTTTGTTATCATTAATATTCGGTGGTACTTTTGACTAGTTGTTGTTTTTGTTGAGTATAAGGACACCAATTGCGGTTAGCTAGCAACATGGCCGAAGGAGAACCTGTTCCGAACGATGCTCTTGTCGAAATGATGACCGCAATGAGAGAGGAGCTGAGGTACATGACTCAACAAATGGGAAATATTCGTCAAGAACTCGGAGCAAGAATATATCGAGTTGAGGCACAACCAAGGAGAGCCCCAGTTCGAGGAGCACAAGTACTAGCCGGTGACGCAAGTGATGATGAAGAGATGCCCGAGATAGAAGATGAAATTCCACCTGACCCTCTTCAGCATCGACAGCAGAGGAGGCCGGATCTTCTAAGAAGAAATCCAGCTAGGGTAGTAGATACCCGAGAGCAAACTCATGATCTCAAGCTAACGCCTCCTACCTTTGCAGGAAAATCGGACCCAAGGCATACTTGGATTGGGAGAGACGGCTAAAGCACATATTTGAGTGCTATGGCTACGCTGAGCGCATAAAGGTGGCTGTTGCGGCTGCACAGCTCACTGATAATGCCTTGGCGTGGTGGGACAGAAACGTAGCCGAGAGAAGGAGGCAACGTTTTGGACCTGTCGTCACTTGGAGCGACATGAAATTCCTCCTACGACTTAGGTATGTACCTGAACACTATCATAGAGACTTACAAAAGCGTTTTCGCAAATTGTCCCAGGGAAACAGGAGCGTAGATGAGTATTTTGAAGAGTTTGAGAAGCTGATGAACTCGCTGGAGTTAGAAGAATCAGAGGAAGCCCTGATGGCGCAGTTCATTGACGGTTTACAAGAGAGAATAACAAGAAAGGTGGAGAGAGCTCAATACAATGGACTACACGAGCTATTGCATCTTGCTGTTCAAGTGGAGCAGCAAATCAAACGCAAGACCGCTCTTACCAGCCGCAACCGCACGAGCCAACCATGGAATGCCAGTAGTTCTAAACCGGTAGATAAATGCAAGGCCGTGGAGATTGAATCAAGATTAAAAGGCAAAAGCACCGAGGCTCCCAAGTTCAACCGAGCCGAACAAGGTAAGTCCTCTAATCCCACATCAAGAACTCGTGATATAACTTGTTTTAGATGTCAAGGCAGGGTCACATGTCAAGGGAGTGCCCAAACCAGCGG